GAATTCAACACCAAACCATGTGCATGCTTCCCAATAAATTATTTGTTAAATTTATTTATTAGGATGAGAAGTTTTTATATAATTAAGTTCAATAATAGAAATTTCAAATACAGTAAATCTAAAAACCGAAAATATTTGTCAGTTGCCCATTTATAATTCCTGATTTGGAAATTAATGAGTTACAATATCCTTATAGCTTATTTTTCTTATCGATTATTTAGTAACAAACCAGGTTTCCATATAGTTATAATAGTAGTAAATATTTGGAAAATCCAAAATGCACGCCTCGTGAGCGTTTCATTTAATTTAGATGAAAAAATAAATAACTTTTAAAAGGTGTTCATTTCAATAGCAAAAATCAATAAGGACCCTGCTTAGAATATATGGAATCTTATTTAATACTATATATCTTAATATATTGTTTACATTTCTATTAAGCGAGAAGACTCACCGACGCACAGACAAACGGACGGCAGTCCGTATATTTTTTCAATTACATTTTTTGTTATGTAATTTAAAGTGAATCAGTTATAAAATAAACTAATAATTCAATATATGTAGTCATTGTAACGTTAATAATAATATGGATTTGATGTCTAGCTAAGAGTATAAGAACGATTTTATGTAGCGAAATTGAGGTATGGCCACATATCCGAGTGTAGAGCACTCACTCACGTTGTTAGGCGTGCAATTAGCCTTTTGAGTACTTTCAGGAACAATGTAAGAACAAATTGTTACTTATTCTTTATATTATTAATCATACTGTTGATGACGATGTAGATCTAAAATAAATAATTAAATTAGCAAAAGTTGTTAATTGGTGACAACCCTAACCTCCATACGCTTTCTAGACGTTGTCGGCATTTACCACGAGATCAAAGGCCTCGTCCTACTATATGTTTATTATTGTGTATACATTATTAGCCTTATGTTGGATATAATAATTATGTGATATGATTTGACGGCTCTTGGAAGCACTGAGGCTTGACATAAAATCTCTCATCGACATATTTCTTTAAAGAAAACCTCACACTGGAATTTTTTCTCTATCGTAAAGGTGTTTTAAATAGATCATTGCACATGGACAAACATCCAGATCTGGCACTATTATTTGTAAGGTACACAAACACGTACACGACCGTAAGGCTCGCAGCACAGCAGCCATAAGCTTAGTGCATCCCAGCCAAAAAAACAATAAGTTTTATTTTTGCTCAAAAATTAAATCCGCAACAAATAAAACGAAAATGTGTTGCAACGCAAATCATTTTAATTTAGCTGTATTTCCATGTCGACTGAATTACTTATTTAATTTTAAATCTTAAGTTAAAAGTGACAAAGATGAAATCACTAGAATTGGCTTTCAGCTTTTTTTTTTTTTTTTTTTATAGGAGAGGGGGCAAACGAGCATGCGGCTCACCTGATGGTAAGTGACTACCGCCGCCCATGAACAACCGCAACACCAGGGGAATTGCAGATGCGTTGCCGGCCTTTTAAAAAGGAGTAGGCTCTTTTCTTGAAGGTCCCTAAGTCGTATCGGTCCGGAAAAATCCCTGGTGGTAAACTATTCCACAAGGAAGTTGTGCGAGGAAGAAAACATCTTCTAAATCGCACAGTGGTGGACCGCCAATCATCCAGATGGTGTGGATGGTATCGGGAGTTCTGTCGCGATGTGCGTTCGTGAAATTTGGCGGCTGGGATTAATCCGAACAATTCCTCAGAGCACTCCCCATGGTAGATGCGAAAGAAAATGCAAAGAGATGCAACATCTCTTCGCAGTGCCAATGAATCGAGCCGATCGGAAAGGGCTCGGTCGTCGACGATTCGAGCCGCTCTGCGCTGGATGCGGTCAAGTGGAAGGAGCTGGCACTGGGGAGCCCCTGCCCAGAGATGGGAACAGTATTCCATGTGAGGCCGAACCTGCGCCTTGTAAAGTTGCAGGCGGTGTGCCGGCATGAAATACTGTCCCGCTCTGCTGAGCACGCCAAGCTTTTTAGAGGCCAATTTGGCCTTCTCTTCCAAGTGACCACGAAACTGCACGTCACTCGATATGTCGACTCCGAGGATACCGATACTGGCTGAGGCAAGAAGGGGAGTGCCTTGAAACTGAGGAGATACGACAAAGGGGTTCTTTTTAGCGGTAAACGCGCAAACTTGTGTCTTCTGAGGATTAAACTGGACTAGATTTAGTCGCCCCCAATCCGAGACTTTGTCCAGCAAAGACTCGACTTCAGACACAAGTTTGTTCCGGTACTCGGCGACGTTTTCCCGAGAAATATTGGCCCGGCCGGTGTATAGAGCATCACCAGTGCTGTCATCCGCATAGCAATGAATGTTACCAGTTAGCAACATATCATTGATATGCAGAAGAAACAGCGTTGGTGATAGCACACAGCCTTGTGGAACACCAGCGTTAATAGGCTTGTAGTCAGAACATGCACCGTCTACAACGACCTTGATGCTCCGATCTGCAAGAAAGCTGGTGATCCAATTGCACAATTTCTCGGGAAGCCCATAGGAAGGCAGCTTCGAAAGAAGCGCTTTGTGCCAAACCCGATCAAAGGCCTTCGCAATGTCCAGACTAACGGCCAACGCCTCCCCCTTGGACTCTACTGCCTTCGCCCATCTATGGGTCAGGTAGACCAGAAGATCACCAGCTGATCGACCCCGACGAAAACCGTATTGGCGGTCACTAATCAGCTGGTGATCCTCAAGGTACCGGATGAGCTGGCAGTTAATAATGGATTCCATTATTTTGGAGAACAAGGAGGTGATCGCGATAGGCCTATAGTTGGACGGGTCTGAGCGGTCGCCTTTTTTAGGGATCGGGTGGACAAAAGCTGTCTTCCATGAATTCGGGACTACGCCTTGGGAGTAGGAGTACCGGAAAAGACGCGTTAGGACCGGTGCCAACTCCGGAGCACACGTCCTCAGCACAATTGGGGGGATTCCGTCAGGCCCACTCGACTTCTGGATGTCCAGGGAGAGAAGTGCTTTGCGAACTGAGCGCTGTGAGAATAGCACATCCGGCATGGAGCACTCACACCGCGGGATGGTCGGCGGTATTTTCCCCCCGTCATCAAGAGTCGAGTTGGACGCAAAAAGGGAGCCTAAAAGGTCGGCTTTTTCTTTTGCGTCTTGGGCCAGTGAGTCGTCCTCCCTGTGCAGAGATGGTAGTGATGGCTTACAGAAATTCCCTTGGACAGCCTTGGCGAGAGACCAGAATGCACGGGTTCCCGAAGGAAGGCGAACTAGTTTCTCGCCAATTCTGCCTATGTGCTCTGACTTTGCCTTGGCAATAACTCTTTTGAAGGACCTGGAGGCGAAGTTATACTTCTTTTTAAGTGTGCTGGTGTTTACATCCCGAGTCACCGAAGCCGCAGCCCAGGCTTGATAACACTCCTGCTTACTGCGCAATGCAGTCTTACAGGAGCGACCAAACCAAGGCTGAGATCTGCCTCCGATGGGTACCACAGATGATGGAATAAATAGTTCCATTCCCTGTAGCACCACATCAGTGACAGAGTCAGCAACAGCACTGGGATCATCCGGCGAGAAGCAAACCCGCCCCCATGGGTAGGATGCAAAGAAAGACCGCATTCCGTCCCAATCCGCCGACCTGTAATGCCAAACACGGCGGCAACCTGCAGAACGCAACCGCGAAGGGAGCGTGAGTGGCACCATACTCCGGATCAGACAATGGTCCGAAGAGCCGAGAGGGGCATCGACGGAAACCTGATATCCGTCCGGATGAGAGGTCAGCAGAAGGTCCAACAGGGAAGGTGTATGATCCTCCACATCTGGAATCCGCGTAGGCGAAGTAACCAGTTGTGTCAGACCATATGCCAAGGCAAAGTCATAAACAGATCTCCCCGCATGATCGGTTAAACGTGAACCGAGCCATTCGGCATGGTGGGCGTTAAAATCGCCAAGGATCACGATCTCTGCGGATGGGACCTGTTGTAGCAAGGAATCTGTAGCCATTTGGACGTGGTCGATGAGTCGGTCTGTTTCGGCATTACCGCTATGGGACCTATAGAGGCACCCGTAGACGCGCGGATGGTCGTCGCTGTCTACGCGTAGCCAAAGGATGGACAGGTCCGAACCTTCAAGACTGCCGAGGCGTCGAGAACAGATGTCCTCTCTAACATACACGCAAACTCCAGCCCGAGGCACAAAGGAGTGCTCCAATTTGTACCCCGGGTAGGAGAGATACGAAATATCAGTCGGAGAGGAAACCTGCGTCTCGGTCAAAAAGAGCAAGGCCGGCTTCGCCGTCTCGAGATGGTAGTGGACGGCGTTTAGGTTAGAGTGAAGTCCCCTGATGTTGCAGAAATTCACGGATAGCGTGGCAGGGGTCGCCTTGGTATTGTTGCTCAGCTTGCCCCGAGCAGTTTTGTTTTTGAGCGGAATTTTGCCCCCCCCAGAATACGCGGGGCAGCCTGAGCACCCACGCTCAGGATTGGAATAACATGGTCGTGGATGCTCAGCGAGGGATTCTCCAGGGGTACTGGTACCCTCCTGGGGTAGTCTATTGTCTAATTCCGCTACCATGTTTATGGGGGGGGGGGGGGGGGGGAATTGGGCCTCCGGCCACCTGCACTCACCAGACGAAACGCAGAAGCAGAGCCTCTACTTCACGCCGGTATTCTGTGAGGTCGTGGTACCAACCCGGCTCGAGCCGGCCCATACGTGCAACAGCAAAAAACTGCTGCAGGGCTCTACCACCGTTATATAGCTTCTTAAGATATTAGAATAGAATAGTTCTCTAGGGATAAATTGTATGTAGTTTATATATATAGAGTTAAAACTTTAATAATATTATATAGGAACAATATATTTTTTCGCTTATAAAGGGTAAAATTTATAACTATGGGTAAGCAAATTATTTAAATATATTTAGAAAATATATAATCGAACCGATTAACTTATGAAATCTCTTGAAAATGGGTGTTTGGTAACAAAAAAGGAGAAGAAAGTACTGAAACAAAGAAAATACGTACCGAATCGTTAAATCGAGTACAGATACATTGACAATGGGGACTCGAAAAGCCAACCCGACCATTTTGTCTTTAGATTGCGGTAGTATTTTTCCCAGCACTTTGCAAGCACCTGTAGTCGCTGGTATTATGTTCTGATTAATGCTTCTGTGATCTCGCCAGTGCTAGAATATTTTTTATGTAAAACAATTTTAATTTTAAGGTTACCATTCAATTCTAACCAGAAAACAGTAAAAATAGGTTATTATATGCGATGATATCGGCTCTGAGTTCACTAACCCATAAAATAATGAACGCTGGCAACTACAATCTTCGAAGGTAAGGCCTTTTACCAGCGATGGACTTAAAATACCGAAAAATACGAAGCTTCAAAGAGTATACAACCCTTTCCCTGTCGTGTGAATCATATATGAATATTTCGATTGTTTTATTATTGGTTCTATTTTTAAAGTGAGATCTGGTTTTAATTTATTCTGTTCTCGTATCTTAAACATTGCATCCGACACTGTTGGACCTAGTTATTTCAACACAGCAGTACTAGAGCTCTCGTATAGATAGACACTGCTCCCTATTGACGCGCCCTATCTCCACCTGAAAACTTGGATATTGTCAAGAATTTAACAACCGGTGCTACATTTTTATAGAATAAGGGTGACCAACGAGCACACAGTCCACCTGATGGTAAGTCAATGATGTGACCCACAGACTACTACATCTACTTTCTTTTTTTTCTTGTTAAGGACATCCTCAATTAAGAATCAAAATTCGATGCGTTGTTACCCCAGAGGACTAAGATGGAACGCCTCGTTTCCAGTTAAAATGGTCTCCGGTTCTCTACACTCACCATACGATACACAGCAACATTAACCGATTCGTTGAAGCACCGACTTTCGACAACTTTTAGACATTGATGACGCCACAGACATTGATGACACGCCTATTGTGCCATCAGCCATTTGTAAAAGTAATGTTTTTTTTATGCAATTTTTACTTGTTTAGACCTCATCATCATCATCACAGCCCTTCACAAGTCCACTGCTGAACATAGGCCTCCCCCAAAGAACGCCACAAAGCACGGTCCTGAGCCACCTGCATCCATCGACTTCCTGCATGTCTTACCAGGTCGTCACTCCATTTCGTGGGGGGACGCCCTACACTTCGCCTACCGGTACGAGGCTGCCACTCGAGAACCTTTCTTCCCCATCGGTTGTCGGTTCTTCGAGCTATATGGCCGGCCCACTGCCACTTCAGCTTACTAATCCGTTGGGCTATGTCGGTTACTCTGGTTCTACTGCGGATATCCTCAAGTTTTGTAGTATGTTTAGACCTAATTAAGTTTATTTGACATCAAACATAAGTTACAAATGGAAGAATTCTTGTTTTTAGTGACTTTTTTTATGAAGAGATTACAAACTTTTTGTACTATTTATTGTTTTATAAAATAATTATTTATATAAGTAGGTACAGCTAAATCACCCTGGAAAACCTTGGTTTTTATTAAATTAAATTTTAACCTAATAATAATATTTGTAAATATCAAACAATCAAGAACCCTAATTTGGAAAAAATTAAGGTTTATGAGTCATTAATATTTACAAATGTTAAATATTATTTAATGTTATACAAATTTAAGTGTAAAGTCGATTCGAAAACGTCTAATTAGTAAGAATAGCAAAACAAGTGTTTTCAAAAGGAAAAAAACGCCGGCGCTATACGGCGGCAAATTGACAAAAGACTATTAGCGAACTTTTTTATGCATGAACGGTTTCAAACTGTTTCAAGCAAAAATAAACCTTATACCATATCACAAGAGCACATGGTACTTCGTAGGTCTATTCGGCCATATGATAGTAATACGTATATGTATATTTTTTTTTAACAGGACACTTATTTTCCAGAAATGTATTTACAATTAGAGTTTGTGAGCGATCGCAATGAGTGCTATTATTTGTTACTTATTAGACTATTTTTCCACAACATGATTGAAAACCCACAAAGTAAAAAGAGTACCATGTACAAGTTAGAAAAAGTTTGTCAACCCCTAAAAATTTCAAATTTTCAAAATATCCAGAAACGAAGCCGCATGTATGAACTACGTGCAAAATAATGAATATTTTGTTCTGGATAAATTTTCCAAAAACGCAATTTGAGCGAGTTAAAACGATTTTTAAAAAGACACGACTCGTGTGTCATACCACAGATTAGTTAATAGTTTACTAAAGTCATACGCCACAGGCAAAAGTAATCGATGGCACGCCTAGCGTCTCCGGTTCTCTACACTCACCATACAAAACACAGCAGGGTTAAGACTATTTTACGCTGGTATTCTGTGAGAGCGTGGTCCTTCCCCGGTCGAGCCGACCGGTAGTGGATATTCTTACACCGCCACTACAAATCAGGAGATGGGCAGCAGCGTCTTCCTAATAACGACTAAAAATAAAAGACTGCGGTTGCTACCCCCTTGCTAAGCGTGGCAACTATGGGGAATCTATGAGGCATTCTATGGGGGAGGCCTATGTTCAGATGTGGACTTTACCTAATAGGATGTAACGGTGTAGCGGTAAACGGATTTTAATTTTTTTTTCTCAAGGCAGAAAGACTTCCATCCGGTCCTTTAATAATTCAAAAAAAAAATTACCTTTCCTCTTAAACATAGACCGTCCAAGGGTTTTAAAGAAGGCGTCATAGCATGAATGCTTGTAACAAATCCCTCTGCGACACCGAAGTCATTCTCTAGAACTTTCATTATTGGCGCTAAACAGTAGAGAGTGCTCGAAGCACACGATATTACTTTTTGATCTATAAAAATTAAAAGTTTTTAACACATGCATTACTTAGCATTTTAGCTATCGAATGAAAAAATTGTTTCACAAAATTAGGTCTTTACCTATGAAATTGTCGTTTTTTATGAAACAAGTTAACGTAATTTTTTTCTATATTTTTTATTTCTTTAAAAAAGTAATCACCCATGTAATCGATGCATCTTTTCCAACGCAGTGGTAGTTTATTGATGCCCTTCTTGAAGAAATCAGCTGGACGGGAGGCAACAAATTCTTCAAAGGTATTTTGTACTGCCTCTCGGGTATTTAATTTTTACGCGCCAAAAGTTATCCAAATTATGGATAAAGTAGAAGTGCGCAAGGTCTAGTGAGTATGGCGGACGACGTAGAGCTCCCAACCCCAGGTTCCGTGCATTATGATCTCTGTTGTGCGTTATGAGGTCGCGCGTTGTCGTGCAGGAGCAGTGGGGATGAGCGATTGACCAAAGCTGGTTGGAGACGTGCGACGTTCTCCATCATTTTGTTCAGTTCTTCACAGTACACATCTGCAGTAATGCTCATCCCGTTTGGTAAGAAGCTGTGATGAATCACACCGGCGCTAGACCACCAAACGGTGACCATCACTTTTCTAGGGGTAAGTTTTCGTTTAGGACATTGTTTACGTGCTGAACCAGGATCCAACCAACTTGCTGAGCGCTTGCGATTGTCGAACAGAATCCATTTTTGTTGCAGGTAATAATGCGGTTGAAAATTCCTTCGTTTGTGTGCCTGTTAATTTTTACGTGGTAGAGCCATGCTGCAGCTACGTTATGGTTGTAGCACGAATGGGTCGGTTCGACCGGGGAAGGACCACGCTCTCACAGAATATCAGCGTAAAACAGCAGCTTAACGCTGCTGTGTTTCGTATGATGAGTGCAGAGAACCGGAGACCCTTTTTACTGGAAACGAAGCATTCCATCTTAGTCCTCACGGGTGACAAAGAATTTGCATTTTGATTCGTAATCGAAGTTAGATGTAGATGACTATGAGCCACAGCAACCACTTACCATCAGGTGGACTGTGTGCTCGTTTGTCACCCCTATCCTATAAAAACTCAAATGGACCAATATTGATTTGATGCTAACGTCGAAAGCTGCTGCTAATTGAGCCGTAGATTATCATCAGCTTCCACAATCGCCTTTAATTCGTTATTGTCGACCAAAGTTTTCGGACAACCACGGGGTTCATTTTTCAGGTAGAAATTTCCATAACGGAAGCGGGCAAACCAATAACAGGTGGTGCGTTCGTTTGTAGTATTCGCTCCGTAAACTTCGTTGACATTGCGTGCCGCTTGTGCCACGTTGCTGCCACAATGTACTCATATTCCATAATTACTTGAATCTTTAACGTATCCATGATGACGAAAAAGATTCATATCCGATGAAAACGCTAATCAATAAACAAATTACTAATTTTGAAAAAAGAAGTCCATGCCTTTAAAATAAAATTAATTTGAAATTAGAATTCTTAGCCAAACAAAAATTATTTTGTTTTGGAATGGCCGGTACTGCAGAACGGCAATTTCAGAGGTAAACCTACATATTAGTAAACATTATTTTTATGACATTTCGAAGCCGTAGTTATAGATATTTGTGTAATCTATTTACAAAGAATAAAAATTACAAATACACCTAAAAACAATGAAGGAAAAGTCATTGACATAGCCTTCTTAGTAATCAAATTAAATTAGCGGTTACGAACAGTCACAAGATTAAGGAGCCAGATAAATGTGTTTTAAGCAAATTGATAAAGTAGTATTATTGTATTTTTATACTACAAAAACAACGTTTAAAACTGGTACCTGGATGCAGTTTATCGTCATTCACCCCAAGTATTATCATAGGAACGTCAATGCTTGGCGCAGTGACCACAACTCGCTTCACGCCTCCGCCCGATAGATGACCCTGTGATAATTTTGTATCGTTCAAACACGAGTGCAATATATAAAAAGAAATATAATATGTAGTGATAATACAGTATTTCGTAGGTATTTGCAATATTTTGTAGGCTAGCAGAAAATACTTCCTTTTGATTCTTTATTGTTTAAGTAAAGGGCGTAAATTATGATGCTTCAATTGATGACTGAATGGAGGACAGGGAAGTTTGAGTTGATTGACGTTGAATATGGCAAAGGATACTTTTTATAATACTTTACACTTTACGTTTTTTATAGGATAAGGTGACAAACGAGCACACAATCCACCTGATGATAAGTGGTTGCTGTGGCCCATAGACATCTACATCTATCTGTGTTTACGAATCAAAATGCAGATGCGTTGTCACCCGTGAGGACTAAGATGAAATGTTTCTTTTCCAGTAAAAAGGGTCTCCGGTTCTCCACACTCAACATACGAAACACAGCAGTGTCAAACTGCTAGTTTACGCTGCTATTCTGTGAGAGCGTGGTCCTTACCCGGTCGAGCCGACTCATTTGTGCTATAACTATACAATTAATATCGCTGCAGCATGGCCTACCACGTATAAAATAATATTGGTATTTGGTATACTTTTGCTTACTCCAAACACATTATGGAGAATTTCAATATAATATTTAGGATCTTATATTAATTACCAACGCCTTTTCTAGACTAGTGAACATTCCCGATGATTCAATTACATACTGCACGTCAGCAGATTGCCACGGTATGGCGGCTGGCTGTTTCTCGTGAAATATTTTTATTAAATTGCCTAAAAAACAAAAACAAAATTAAAGTAATATTTAGGAAGATTAGACCAGACATTATTTTAAAAAAACTAAGCTATGTGAACGCGCTTGTCTCATGAAGCATTTTGTCCCGTAGGTGTTTAATTATTATTTTCTAAAACAGAAAATTTTAGATGCTGATGAAGAAGAAAAATTATATCATCGTCTATGGTCGATGATTGGACTATACAATCAGCGGCATGCTGCTTTTTAGCTTATCGCTTATCCATTGTACGCTGACCGAGCTTGAGCTAGAGCATCGTAGCTAAATGATTATAGATAACAACACAGTACTTGACTTTAAACTCTCCCTATGCGGTGTAACGGTTTAAATCTTAGCTGGAGTCTAAATTAGCCTCCAAACGGAAGCCAGCACCCTGTCTTCTAGATGTTCTAAAATGTAACAATGGGAAAAGCCTTTAGCTTTTTTCGCTCAAGAGCCAAAAGATTTTAATTATAAGGCTAATGATTATGAATGCCAGCATATTATAAATCACCAGTAACAGCAATTTTTTTCGTTTTTTTTTAATACTCTCATTTATTTTTTCCTACCTACTTTGTTTATAAACATTTTGCAATCACTATTAATCCAAATTTAGTCACTATATTATTACCAATTAAGCCCATTATGGATTCACTATTGAACATCGGTCTCCCCTTTGTATTGAGCTTTGTATTAAGAGTTTCTTAATCCATTTCTGGACATTAAGCCTTTTTATATAGCATAGGGTGACAAACGGGCACACAGTCCACCTGATGGTAAGTGGTTGCTGTGGCCCATAGACATCTACATATATCCTCGTTTGCGAATCAAAATGCAGATGCGTTGTCACCCGTGAGGACTAAGATGGAATTCCAGTAAAAAGGGTCTCCGGTTCTCTACACTCACCATACGAAACACAGCAGTGTTAAGCTGCTATTTTACGCTGGTATTCTGTGAGAGCGTGGTTCTTCCCCAGTCAAGCCGACCCATTCGTGCTACAACTATACTACTAAAATATCTGCAACACTCTACCACGAATATCAAAAATGCACCAATAGGGCATGCATTTCTTGAAAGAGATATCTATACTTACTAAGCTGGACAGTCGGGTTGGTGAGCACAGAGGACATACTCTTTTTTTATAAATTTAAATTGACATTGCTGCTGCAGGCCATGGATGTTTGCAACCTATATGTCACCACTGAGGAATAAGATGAATTCCTCACAGCCTACCGAGTCTCAAAAAAATTGAAACCAAAATATAACAGTGTAGGTGAGGTTTTCGGCAGAAATAGGTAATATGGTTGTACGTTGTACCTCCCAGTCTTCATAGACAGAAAGGAGTACTACCACCAATTTTATACGTGGTAGAGCCATGCTAAAGCTATATTAGTAGTATAGTTGTAGCACGAATGGGTCTGCTCGACCAGCGTGAAATAGAAGCTTAACGCTGCTGTGTTTCGTATGGTGAGTGTAAAGAACCGGAGACACTTTTTACTGGAAAAGAGGCATTCCATCTTAGTCCTCACGGGTGACAACGCATCTGCATTTTGATTCTCAAACGAGGATAGATGTAGATGTCTATGGGCCACAGCACCCACACCATCAGGTGGACTGTGTGTTCGTTTGTCACCCTATCATATAAAAAAGTAAAAATCACTCCTACAATGGTTATGATGCTGACAATTACTAGTCTGTGGTATTTTAGTTCAAAAAATTTGGATTGTTTTTCTGTCATCATCAGAACCTTGTCCATTAACCAACTGGGTACACTGTTGAGGTTCACATTTGGAGAAAAGGCTTACATTATTAAGTGGCGAAGCTTGCGAAGTCACTTATTGATTTCACGATGTCTGTCCGTCTGTCCGTCTGTCCCACGATTATCTCGAGAACGGTTTCGAATTTTCAAATTCTGTTTTCAACAATCGATTACTGATCACCCAGGCATCTGAACCTCCTATTTTGAAACTGATTGCTCAACGGCAACCATTAGAAACCGCTACAAAGCTGATTGTTTCGCCACTTTGCTATGCTGTTAGCTTGCTAGGTTTATTATTCTTCCTTGCTAAAGACTAACAAGGTGGTACATGCCTACATCGTTACCCTTTAAATATTTAAAAAAAAACATTCTATCATATTACCATTAATTTTTATGTCATCCTTATATGACTCTATAGTTGCGTTAAACTTTCCATGTGTTGAATCAAATTTTATTAAATAACAGATGTATTCCACATCTATAGCAGGATCATTAATAGCAGATACCTGTATTAAGAATAAAAAATTACGAGTAATGTATATCTGCTGTTTAGTAGCGGCATAACAGAATCCACTATCCCATACCCTTGCATAAGTACAGCAAAAGGCAACAAAGTGAAACTGAAACAAGAGATAGGCAGCAGCAACTCGTTCTTCTTCTGTACGGTATGGCTTTTCTTTATTGGATTCTGCCAGTGTCAGTTATGTATGTAACAAAAGGTACTGCTACCGTCGAAACCTATTAAAGTGCACTGCTGAACATAGGCCTCCCCCATTGATTGCCTTATAGCGGTATAACAGAAGGTAAAAAAAAATATATTTTTTTAAAAACTTTTTTATGTGAGGCTTCCAAATCTAGAACACAAGACAACATCATCATCATTACAGCCTATCAAAAGTCCACTGCTGAACACAGGCCCGTTAAAAACTTTTCTTATAAAAGGCTTACAAATCTAGAACAAGAGACAACATCATCATCATTACATCCTATCAAAAGTCCACTGCTGAACACAGGCCCGTAAATTACTCATAATTATTTGCCATTGTTGCCAAGCCTTGCAGGCAAGTTGGCAACTGTAGTTTTTTTATTATTTTGAGTTGTTATCAGATGAAAAATATGCTGCAGCCCATTGCTTCTCTTCTTTTTTTCCCTCTTGCGGTATTCAGTGGATGATATGGGGTAGTGTATACTCCTATGCCGCCACTACACTTCAAAAAAACAACACAAAACTTATAATATTCTACTACAAAAATTATTAGTAATAAGTTACAAGTTAATTTAATTAATCTATGGAAATCACATTTCTAAGTTTATCACGCAAAAAAGAAGAGTGACCGACATAGCCCAACGGACTAGTAAGCTGAAGTGGCAATGGGCCGGCCATATAGCTCGAAGAACCGACAACCAATGGGGAAAAAAGGTTCTCGAGTGGCAGCCTCGTACCAGTAGGCGAAATGTAAGGCGAACCTCACTAGATGGAGTGACGACCTGGTAAGACATGCAGGAAGTCGCTGGATGGAGGAGGCTCAGGACCGTCCTTTGTGGCATTCTTTGAGAAAGACCTATGTTCAGCAGTGGACTTGTGAAGGGTTGTAATGACGATGATGATGGAAATCACATTAAATTTAAACAAATGAAGAAAACAAAAGCTTGCTAACATGTAAAACAGGACGGAGATGCTATAGGGAAGAATGTACATCGTGGGTATTTGAAGAATAAGTGATCAGTCGAACGTTCATCAGGAACACACTTACTTATAGAATTATCCCTTATTCTTAATTTGTCTAAATATATCGGGGTGCAAAAATAACCAAAGCGAAGGCGAATAAAGGGTTTTCCTAATAACTGCTCGAAATAATAAACACAACGTTTGCCAAGACGTCTGCTAAGCGTCGCAACTATAGCAAATTTGCCCCCTGAGACAATCTATGGGGACGGAGAGGCCCATATTCAGCTGGGAACTTTTGCTAGGCTGTAATGAATAAATTAAAACAAACAAATTCTGTAACAATTACCTCAATATTTGAATTATCAAAACAAGTTCTGAACAATATTCTACCTATTCGGCCAAAACCATTAATGCCTACTTTTACAACCATTCCTAGAAAAAAAATAAACGTATTGAATTTAAAAGTAATTTCGAAAGGAAACCTATCCTAACAGGTTTGCAGAGGTTTTAAAATCACTAAGTTTTATAATTTGTAATAATTTGTCATTTTCAATTTAAATCTGCCGCTAAACGCATAGAGTAGAGTACCGTACACAGACTAACTAGTTTTTACCGTATACCGTACATATATAAATGTATGTAATTACCGTAGACAGAGATATTTCTGTCTACGGCACTGAACTTTATATATATATATAAATAGACCTACATAGTGTGCAAGGGAGAAGAAAATTCCTTATGGCAAAAATGCAAGATAGAAAAGGATACCAAATCTCATGACTCTGTAACCCATTTTGAATGACAGATCGGCACAATTCGGCACGCAAGAAATAACTATTAGATATTTTGTAATTTTTTAGAGTGTAATAGTGGTTATTTCTATTAGGTAACTTTTTGCAAAATGGTTACTTAATCTGCGAGTGACTGTGGTGTTAATAATAGAAATATTCGTAATAATTGCATATTTCATAGGTAAATTTTCAAGACGTCGTCAATGTTATGACGCGTTTATTTTTGGTTAAAATTTATGTTATATACTATCTAAATATAGAATATTTTCAATTATTTTGATAATTTTGATATTTTTCAAAGAAAAAAGTCACGTTGTTGATAATTTGCATAAATTTGGTAAATACATTTTAATACAAAATATGTTACATGTACGCTAGGGATTGACTCAACTGAGGTTGGAATTATAAATTAATGTCGATATTTATCTTGAATGTTTATAATAAATCGATAGAATTGCGCACACAACAAGAAAATAAATGCTCGGTTTGCGTTCTAAAATGTAATTTTATTTTGCCTTTTGTCAAACAGATTCCCTCCGGATTTTATAATTAGTAAATATGGTTAAGGTTAATTGGACGGATTGGTTGGAATCCAAAGAAAAACTCAAGAAATTGCAGCAAACATTTTCTTGAGAAGTATACAAGAAAATTTAGAATAAAAACAATTTTATTAAAAGGAGCCATTCCTATATTATTTGTACCAGTAAGTATAATATTGTTACAGTACGAATTCAAAAATTTTACTGCAAAAGCTTTAGGTAAAAATAGAGATAGATTTTTATACATTAAATAACACCAGTGTATTAAAAATAAAAAATCTTAAGATTATCCTATTCAAGCAATTATGAACCCAACTGAGTATCTATTCATCAACCAAAAAATGTATAACCTTACTTAACCAACCGCACGTCACGGTCTCATTAGTACAATATTTATAGCATCACGCTATTTTCCCCAAGGGGTTGAGCGGAGCTTCGGTTTATATACCCAAGTCACAATGATAAAACTTTTAATGTACTTAGATATAGATATTTAGTAATACTCCTGAAGCGCCGCGTACGCGTAGTTCAGTTTGCCAGGATAGTATAAATTCCATAGTATTTGATACTCACAACGACCGATGCCCGATTTATGCTTGGTGCCCGTCGACAGTATGTCGAGGGCTAAATAGCGTGGTTCATTGCCTACGGCAAGGAGCGATCTTTAAATATTTTTTTATTTCTAAACTACATGGGTGCAGTTAAATAATTAATATGTTTGGAATTTGCTATTTGAAATACATCTATCAAATTAAAAAATATATATATACACCCAATTCATAGGCTAGGGTACGGGGGCTTTCTAAGTCTATGGTAATTACATCCTCTATCTTCGGTGATTACCATAGACTTAGAATATATTCTAAGTCTATGGTGATTACGTAGATAGAGGAGATACTAAGTCTATAGGTAATTACTCTAATTCACAGACTAATATGATGCTTACGCATCTCTAAGGTTACTGAACGACTTAGTTTATTACTTTTGAGTTTTTTTTTTGATTCATTGTTAACATAAAAATCCTATTACTGGGTGGGTTTATAAATAAAACAACTACGAAGGGGATGGCCACAAACTAATAAATTTGTTGTATGAAATCATATGAAACCTCGCACATTTCACCCGCACCGTACGCGCAGTATCTTATAAAATACGGCAGATATCCGAATATCATGAAGTTATAATTAATTCATCGCCAATCTAATGATACTGTGGTAGGCATGCATTAATTGCACGACTATACTAGAATTATTTTATCTGTGCAGTTTGGGTCATAAATCATTAGAGTATTTCGCTCTCTCTCCCACTCACGGGCCTTAGGGGCGAGCCTAGTGATGCGCATTATTGTTGTCGATAAGCGTTAACCATAGTATATTTAGTTTTGTCATTATGTAGGTTAGTGATAAAAATGAAAAAAAGTAGATAAAACAACTTATTTATTAAAATTAGAATAATAATGATAAATTATTAATTAGGTATCTATGTATTAAAAAAACTAAGTACAAAAGTAGGAATGTAACAAGTTATATTAAATTGTTATTTGTTTATTTATTGTTATCGATAGTTCGAAATCCACTTGCACAAACTTAGTCACATTTGTCGAAGGAATTGCTGAAGCTCTAGATAAACAGGAGGAAGTAGACGTTGTGTACACAGACTTCAGCAAGGCCTTCGACAAAATACCCCACTTACCTCTTATAGACAAACTTGCTGCCTATGGCTTTACAGGAATTTTTTCCAACTGGATTAATTTATATCTAACGAATAGACGTTTCTTCGTTGTTGCTAAAGGCTATAAGTCTGAAGCTCACAAGATAACCTCAGGAATTCCTCAAGGATCCCATTTGGGGCCAATTCTTTTTAACGTATATATCAACGATATGCCCAATATTTTCCTTTCATCAACGCCCTATCTATTTGCAGATGATTTGAAAATTGCCAGAACTATTAAGTCCCAAGCTGATGTTCTTATATTACAACATGATTTAAATAGGTTATACAATTGGTGCTGTACAAATGGAATGGAATTAAATATAGATAAATGCTTTTTTATTAAATTTACACGCAAACATAGTAAAACTAAATCCAAATATTATATTGATGGTAAACCATTAAAAGAAGTTGATAGAATTAAGGACCTGGGAATAATTCTAGATAACAAATTAACTTTCGTACCACATATTGAAAGCATTGTTAGGCGCTCATCTAATATGCTGGGTTTTATTATTAGAAACAGTAAAGTGTTCAAAAACTTACAGACACGTATCACTTTGTACAAAGCACTAGTACGCAGTCTTCTTGAATACTGCCCTGTTGTATGGAGGCCACACTATGCCACGCACATATTAATAATAGAACGGGTCCAAAAACGCTTTTTATGGCATTTATCTCACATCTCCAAAGTTTCAAAGAAAAAGTCCTCCAATCATGAAAACCTCAAACACTTTAAAATGTCCTCGTTGAATAAAAGAAGGACCCTTTTGGACCTAATATTCACTTATAAAATTTTTAATAATCAAATCGACTGCCCTCAGCTCCTAAACCTTTTTAATTTCAGGATCCCGCTCAGGGTTCCAAGGAAACCCGTTTCTCTATTTTATCCGCCATTCCGCAGGACTGTTTTAGGAAAACATTCACCAGTTCCTCGTCTGTGTAACGCATTAAATACGTGGTTTATTAATGATCCCAAGGATGTTTTCTATCTTAAACTTAACCAGTTTCGTGTACATTTGTTAAAAAAAATCCAAGATTAATTATACCTATCTTTTATCTGTAATAACTAGTTTAAAATTAATCTTATATCAATGTAAAAGGTACTTATGTCACATGTTAAAATAGCACGCTGTGTTTACCTGTAACTGATTGTGCATTTAGCTCATAATAATTTATTACAATGTAACTACTTTAAGTTTCTGTAATGTAACAGTCGTTGGTAGACCAAATAAATAAATAAATAAATAAATAAATAGATAATAGCGTAGTACCCGCGCCACATGATCACCACCCTAGTCGGGCTGAGGTCGAGCTATGATTTATGACCTCAACTGCACGGATAAAATAATTTTGCTATAGAGAAGTGACTATGCTATTTAGATTACCGATGAAATAATATTAATATGAATAAAATGCGTTTTAATTGGAAATCAACTATTTAATATATTTTTACATGTATAATTGAATATAAATATAAAATAGAAACTTACAATCAAAACAAATCAAATAATAGAGATTGTTCAATTTAAAACTGAACTCGCCTCCATTATATTTTTATAAATTTTATCACTTTCATAAAATAAATCTTTTTCTTTTTCTTTTCATCAAATATACTTAATAAATAATAAGATCTACTAAAACACAATAAAAGGACGTGATGAATTTATAACAGATTATGCGGTAAATGTGATAAAATATATTATTAATACACAGGAGGCGTGTGCAGTTTTAATTAGACGATCTCTAGCGTAACAGATTGACAGACAAAGAATTATCTAAACGGGTGAGCCAAGAGATATGAAATTTGGAAGAAATATTAACCCAACCTTAACCTATGTCATGTTAAGATTGTGCATAAGTTTTAGGCTTTCGCGGACTTCGTGGGGGTAGAAAATTACTACACAGATGTTGGGGTGGGTCATTTCGACCTGACTTTTGACATAAAAATATTTTAATATTTTTTTAAGAAATAAATATTTTTTTTAAAGTTTTATCTGACATTATTAGGTAATGATTAAGAAAAAATAGACTCTTAATAAAAAGTAAAAGCTGAATTCAAAACACTAAAAATATTAAAATAATTTTCATATAATTTCAAAAGTCGGTGCCAAGACATATTATTACCTAAGAAATATTCTGAGAGACCAAAGTTAATGTGTTCATTTCTTTAAAAAAATATCTGAAAGATATCTTTGGAGCTAGGTTATACATTGCTCTTATGACTCTCTTTCGCAAAACAAAGATAGTTTCAATGTCAGTGGCATTACCCCATAGCAAAATTCCATATAATATAATAATATTATGCTATGGAAATATAATTAAAATAAACTAATCAAGCAGTTTGAACACATGTAAGGCATCTAATCTTTTTTCCAGCATATGCTGCAGAACTATATTTGCTAGCTAGTTTAGATATATGTAGGGCCCCATTGTGACTTCGCGTCAACTGTAATTCCGAGAAAAACAGGAGATTCAACAAAAAGTAAAAGTATCGTAGAATGAAAGTCTCTAAGTTTACTAAAATCCCCGCTACTGGAATCTGCCACCCGAAGCTAGGGTCCTTTTTGAAAAGTACATGCTTATTATTGTATGCTAGAAATTATCATTGATGAAATATTGCTCATTTAGTATCCTTAGAGTATTTATTTATAAGCAAGTTATAGAGCACGTGTTAGCGAGTATGAACAGTCTCAAAATGACAAGGGCGACGTTATTAGTCAAGAAAGGTTACGCGCGTTGTTCCTCTCGACATTTTTTTTGAGTTTCAAGTTACCATGGTGAAATGTGCAGTGTCAAGCTGTAACAACTATTCACAAAAGCAAAGTAAGAAAAACAAAAATATATCTTTTCATCGGTATGTAATATTTCGATAAGAAAATTCTGATTTCTCAAAATTACTTAGGGTGTCAAATGGTGCAGCTAGAGGCACGCGGCCGGCGCGACACAGTCACGTTGTACTTAAATATTTTAAATTTTTTATCGTAATAATTTTAATATTATAAGTTCAGAACCTTTGTATTCCGAACCGATATGGATCAATGTCTAAAATAAAACTATTGAGTACCTTTTTTTAATAGATGCTGCAATAAAGGTAAATACAGTTAAAATACTTTTCTAATTTCACATTCTCGAAAAGCCTTGAATTCCCAAATAAATGGGTGGTAGTAATTAAAAGGCCCAACTGGGAGCCCAAACTCCGGAGTTTCATTTTTTTTCATCCATTTTAGTGCTTCAATACCAGAGCTTAAATTTGGAGTAAGACTTTGGCAATTATTTATGTAGGCACTCACGTAATTACGTGTGTATGTGCACAATTTTTTCAAAATAATATATGTCACTCGAAAATAGTTGATATTAGAATGAAATATCGTACTGTTATGTCCAACCCTATTTAGTTAAAAGCGCTGACCCGATTATTTTATTTCGTATATAAGCGTAGTGTTTGAGGTAATCGAGGCAGTGCAGCTCCAACCCATATTAAGTGCATATCGCACACGCCGTTCGCGGCTTTAGTACATTTTTTGTATTATTTTAATATTGGGGAAATAAACCAAAAGAACTTCCGGGATTGGGTGTAAAAGTTTTTTTAAAACACCTTCAGAGCGGCCCTCCTAACAAATTTGGTGTCAGAAGTGGGATGTCACACGGTCTACTCGTATATCGGTAGCGTGGCATCCGAATCCTGGGAAACTCTGAAGCAAGATCGACAGTAAGTCTCCACCCCACGCGTGTGAGCCTGCATCATCCGAAACACCAACAAGGTCTCAGCCCCACGAGCTTGAGGCATCTCCATCGTCATCAACCCGAAGTTCATCAAGGCTGTCAGTCTTCACCCCACGCGTGTGAGCCTGCCCTGAGCTGCTGCACTCCCACCGCACAACCACGTGGACGCTGCCGTCAAACGACTCCCTGGGTCTCACGGCAACTCGACTCCGCTGCACGTCATCGCAACACGACACCCGCATAGCAACCAATGTTCGCCGTAGTGTTCGTGATATTGTAAGTTAACCTTAATTTAGCGATAATTTTGTACTACTTTGTTCTAATTCTTTACATTTTGTCATTAATTGTATACCATATCCTTATTTCACCAATTTTGTATTTCCTAACTCCTTAACTATTTTTCTTATTCCACATGCATAAGACTAAAACTTTAAAGGAAAAACCAGAAGAACTAGAAATGTCTGACAAAATTCCCTTATCGGTCCTTACAAAATTTATTAAACCTTACAATGGCGACAGAGAATCACTTCCAGCATTCTTAACAAATTGTGATAACGCCATATCACTCGCGAATTCGGAACAGCAATCAGTTCTGTATCGTTATATCATATCCCAGTTAGAGGGAAAAGCCCAAATCGCGTGCTCATTAAAAACTTTTAATAGTTGGGATGAATTAAAAATATTCCTAAAAACTACCTTTGGCGAAAAGAAACACTCCACACACCTTTTAATAGAACTCCAAAACTGTAGACAGGGAAACTCAGAAACCGTAATGCAATACTCGCTTAAAATTGAATCTTGTTTAACGCGATTACAATCTGATGTACATTATAGTTGTGAGAATAAGTCCGAGCTAGTAGGAAGAATTGCCGCTATGGAGGATTTAGCCCTCAACACTTTTATATTAGGTTTAAATTCTAATTATGGATATATTGTTAGATGCCGAAATCCGAAAAACTTAAGCGAGGCGATTATGCATGCCATAGAAGAAGAAAAATTATATATTCTAAGCAAAATTTCTTCCAAATCATATAAACAATGTTCTATATGTCAAAAATCCGGTCATTATTCTTCCAGCTGCTATAATAATAAGAAAAAACAATCTCATCGAGCTTATTATGTTAATCCGCAAAATAATAACTATCCTAATTCTCATAAGATCTCAAATAAAAACTTTATTAAAATATGTAGCTATTGTAAAAATCCGGGACATATGATAAATGAATGTCGCAAGCGACAATATAACAAAGCATTCGTCGTAATATGCAACCGGATACTCGCCCGACGACTGCGTTACCAAGTCCCAGTGCACACACACCTAATAGAAATAATATGCATTTATGTAACGCACAACCATCTACCTCTAGTGCCGATATTTGTAACGAAGATTTAAACTAACTCTGATTTCGGAAAAGTGCCTACCGAAATCGAAAATATTCCAAGGCACAAATTTTACTAACTCTTATACTAAGCCTATCTATAATGATAACGAATTTAATTATAGTTATCATAAAAAGTGTTCTTATAATACACCTCAGCGACATCAAATGCCGCCGAGTCTTACTAAATCTTGTAATTTTAAAAATACTATTTCTTATTCTAACTCTACACCTCGGGAACAATACCCGAGTCCATCTTTGACACAAGGTCAAAGTCAAAATACTAATTATTTATTACCTCGGGAAAATCATCCCAGGACATCTCTGAATCAATATCAGTCTTAGAAATAATTATAATACTAATTCTTGTACTAATTCTTATACCAATTCTATATCTAATAAAGATGCTATTTCTTATACAAAACCTACATCTCGAAAAGATATTTCGAGTCATACTAACCCTACCTATGATTTAACTAATAATAAAGGTGAAATACCAACGTATATTATGAATATATCAAGTAAGAAAACATCACTACCCCATGTTTATTTTAGATCAAATCTTTCTGTTCAACCCTTACGATTACTACTCGATACAGGCGCAAGTGTTTCTATTATAAAAAAATCGAGTTTAAATGGAAAATTTACGCTCTCCAATGAAATCATAAAACTCAAGGGTATAAACAGCACTCAATCTTGTAACGAAACGTTAGGAACATTACTGTTAGATTTCATTTTAGATAATTTTTCCATAAACTACAAATTTCATGTTACATCAGACGATATTAATATTGATTACGACGGAATTATAGGAAGCGATTGCCTCAGTCATTTTATGGTAAATATAGATTATCATATTTATTCGCTTTGTTTTAAAAATTCTATATCTGTGCCTATCCACTTCTCAGAACCTACTTACATTATACCGGCGCGTAGCGAAACTATTATCGAATGCTCCGTATCGAATAACCCGTCCGAGTTGCGTCACCTTAAGGATGCTCTCATACTAGATCAAACCGTTTGTAATGGTGTTTATTTAGCGAACTGCCTAGTGACTTTAAAAGCAAATAAAAGAGTTAACGTTTCCGTCTTAAACACAACCGAATCGCAATTTAAAATAAAAAATTTCAAGGTTAAATTAACGCCGATCGATTTTAATGAATATTCCAATTTCTTTTGAATCGTGTAATAACATAAATACAATTTCGACAACCCACTCTAATCGTGTTCAACGCGTCTGCGAACCAATTCGTCACTCTCATTTAAACTCTGAGGAGAAAAACTTTTACTAGACTGTTGTTCACAATACTCAGACATATTTTATGTCGAAGGAGACGACCTCACCTGTACAAACGCGATTCAACACTCGATAAATACAGGGAACACCCCTCCTATTCACGTTAAGTCATATCGTTTTCCTCAATGCCATAAAGACGAAGTAGATTCACAATTAAAAAAAATGTTAAAACAAAATATAATTAAGCCGTCAATATCTCCGTGGAGCGCCCCAGTGTGGGTCGTGCCTAAAAAAATGGATGCATCTGGCAAAAAGAAGTGGCGCATTGTCATAGATTATAGGCGACTTAATGATGTGACCATAAATGAAGGTTATCCTATCCCATTAATTAGCGATATATTAGATCAATTAGGACATTCTAAATATTTTTCGACACTTGATTTAGTTTCCGGCTTCCATCAAATTCCTCTCAATCCTAACGATGCCGAAAAGACTGGTTTTACAGTAATCAACACAAATGGCATTTCCGGTCATTTTCAATTTAATCGCATGCCCTTCGGATTAAAAGGTGCTTCTAGTACGTTTCAACGTCTCATGAACACCGTCCTTTCTGGTCTCCAAGGTCTCCACTGTTTCGTCTACTTAGATGACTATATTATTTACAGCCACGATCTTCAAAGTCATATGGAAAAATTACGTCTTGTTTTTGATAGGTTTCGAGATTTCAATTTGAAACTACAACCAGATAAATGCGAGTTACTTCGACGCGAAGTCACTTATTTAGGTCATGTAATTACTGACAAAGGTGTCTCACCTAACCCTGACAAGGTAAAATCGGTATACAATTATCCTATTCCCAAAAATCCCAAGGAAATTAAATCATTTCTAGGTCTAGTAGGTTACTACCGTCGATTTATAGATAACTTTTCAAAAATAACAAAACCCCTTACGTCATTACTAAAAAAGGATGTTAATTTTAATTGGACACAAGAACAATCCCAAGCTTTCAATTTGTTAAAGGAAAAATTAACTTCAGCTCCGTTACTTCAATATCCCGATTTTTCGCAACCGTTTATTGTCACCACAGACGCCAGTAATTATGCTGTTGGCGCAGTATTATCGCAAGGTCCTATCGGAAAAGACAAACCGATCGCGTATGCCTCAAGAACATTAAATAAACAAGAAGGCAACTATTCGACAACGGAAAAAGAACTTTTAGCTATCCTCTTCGCTGTAAAAACATTTCGTCCCTATATTTATGGTAACAAATTTAAAATAGTCACTGATCACAGACCTTTGGTCTGGCTTTTTAATGTCAAGGATCCAGGAAGTAGATTAATTCGTTGGCGCCTCAAGTTAGAGGAATATGATTATGAAATTGTATACAAACAAGGAAAACAAAATTCAAACGCCGATGCTCTTTCCCGCATACCCATTCACGCCTTAAATTCGAATGTAGTCCTTAATAAACTCAAATATGAATCATATTTTAAAAAGCAATTTACTAGTTCCATTTCCACAAATACTGTAATCGAAGAACATCAAGAAGCATTACACCTTTCTAAATTAAATAATATTGTTTGCCCCGTATCCCTCGACTTTGATGAATCTATCCCATATTGTAAAAATATTCTATCCCAGTTGCAAAACTCTGAAAGCTTAATAAACTCAGAACGAGAACCTTACACTATTTCTTATATTAAGGAGAATAATAAAACGTTTTATTTCTTGTATACAAAAATCCACCATTACGAAGAGTTAACATACCGAAATATTTACAATTTATTAATGCAACTACGCGACAATATTATAACAAGAAATAGCCAAATCACTGACTTAGCCATTTCCGATTTTGCTGACCCATTCTCTAAACTATCCTATACAAAAATATACAATATAATTGCTTACATATTTCACAATACTAATATAAAAATTCATATATACCGAAATCAAATTATTTACCCTACTCCTGCCGAAATTCCACGAATTCTCAAAGAAAATCACGACTCAACAATTGCTGGTCACCCCGAAATTAAAAGGATGTTAAACCGCTTAAAAGATCTATATTTTTGGAAAAACATGCGCTCCGACATAGAAAATTATGTTAAAAATTGTAAGTTGTGCCAAGTAAATAAACCACTAAGAACATGTAATAAGGCTCCAATGGTGATAACTTCTACAAGCACAAAACCATTCGAAAGATTAGCTCTAGATATAGTCGGTCCACTACCCGAAGCTGGTTTGCAAAACTTCAAATTCATATTAACCCTACAAGATGACCTAACCAAATTCTTATGTGTATATCCAATGATAACTTCCAGCAGTGACGAATTAGCTCGTACATTAGTTCACTTTATCTCTCTGTTCGGAATTCCCAAAACGATATTAACAGATCTCGGCACATGTTTCACGTCGGAATTATTTAAACAGGTAATTGAAATATTTAAAATAAAACCCTTACATGCTACCCCCTATCACCCACAAACAAATGGTGCCTTAGAGCGTAGCCATGCTACACTCAAGGAATATCTTAAATCTTTTGTTAACAAAAACCAGAATGATTGGCATTGTTATTTAGCCACTGCAGTATTTTCCTACAACACTACCCCTCATACCACTACTACATATACACCCTATGAATTACTATATGGGCATAAACCAACAATACCTAATTCTTTATATAATACGAGTAACGATACAACTTATCATGAATACATCCGCGCATTACAATATCGCATGAATCTTAGTCGACAAAAGGCATTAGAACACATAATCAAAAGTAAAGAAACATCGAAAAAATATTATGACACAAATAGTAAAAATATATCCTACAAAACAGGTGATATGGTTTATTTAAAATATCACCATAGACTTCGCAAAGCCTTATCCCCTATCTGGAAAGGTCCTTATAAAATAATTAAATTAAATGGCAAACATAATGTAACTCTTCTCATAGGTAGTAAGCATGTGAAATACCATATTAATGAAATTAAACCAGCTCATCCTTAATTTTACTTTATTTTGGGGCCATAAGCCACCAATTCAACGCTGAAACTCAAATTCTACCTATTTATAATAGTCCAGGTATTTATTTCGATCAAATAACTACAATTAATTTTTATAACGATTTTTGTAATGTTGTAACGCATATAGACGTAGTTTCACTTAAGCCACATCTAGACAATATACATTCACTTATAATCAAAACTGCGACGCTCTGCAAAAACTTGCAACTCCGTGGTTTCGTTGAATGTAATGATATCATAAGCCCTATTGAAGTATTATTAAATTCAAATTTTGCTAAAGTCGAATCTTTGTCGTATATAGTTTCTACCGAGAAACAAACAAGGCATAAACGAGCTTTAGAATTCGGTGGAGAATTTTTGAAATTCTTTTTTGGAACTCTAGATGCTGATGATGCACGAAAGTACGATGCAGCCATTAGCGCTTGTCAAAATAGCGAATCCGAACTACTAAAACTAATGAAGGATAATATCCACATAATTCAATCGTCTATTAATGCTTTTAACTCAACAATATATAAACTAAATATGAATGAAAATAAATTAAATTCTCAAATAAATTCTTTAAATATTGTGTTATCCCAAATTGTCAAAAACAATGACCAGTTATCACACATCTCTAAAATATATGCTTTACTTAATATAATAGAAAGCTCTTTGGCCACTATTTCTAATTTCTTAGATAATGTACTAAACTGTATCTTATTTTCTAAGGTAAACATTTTACATCCTAGTGTGATAAGTCCTACAAACTTATTTCGCGAGCTATTAAAACAGAGTAACTATATAAATAAGCGACTAGATTTTCCAGTACTATTAACGGTTGAAAATATACATACTCTGATAGATATTTCAAAACTCACATCTTTCTATTATAATCAAAGAATAATTTTCATATTACGCATACCACTGATTTCTTCTTTATGGTTCACTTTATACAAATGCATACCCTTACCAACTCCTCATAATCCTAGTAATCCTAATTCTTTCGCCCTAATTCAACCCACCAAGCCTTATCTTGGAATAACAGAAGATAGACTTAGTTATAGTTTGTTAGATAATTTAAATGATTGTAATATTATCAGTAATGATTATTCTATATGTCCTTTAATTTCTATATTTTCTACAATAAGGAACCCATCTTGTGAAACGAAATTGTTAACTGAAGTAACGTTATCCTTGCCATCTCAATGTAACTCTAAACTTTTATATGGACAAATCGATGTATGGTATAAAATAAGTAATAATAAGTTTATCTATGTACAATCTGAAAAATGTAAATTAACTATAAAATGTAATAATATAATACAAGATTTTACTATTTTAGGAATAGGTATCCTAAGTTTAAATGAAAGCTGTATTGGTTTTTCTAAGACAATTCAATTATTACCATCTACAACTAAATCTATTAAAATTGAAAATAAAATGAATTTAAACTTTAATATTACAGAAGACGAATGTTGTAATAAGGAAGTTTTAAATAAATCGATTCCCTACTTATCCCCTATATCTCTAACTAGCCTAGACATGGACACTCTAAAATATTCTTATCACTCCCTAAATAACTTAGAAAGTGAGATCAATAAGGTTCAAGAACAATCTCACATTATTAATTATGGTAATTACTATTCATCGTTTACATACTTCTTGATCATTTGTTTTATTTTATATGTTTCCTATAAAATGTTTTGTTGCTTTATTAAGAGAAATAACGATTCTTGCTGTTGTATACAAATATTTAATCAGTGCAATACACGACGAATTGTTAAACACGAATCAAAAGTTAGTAATTCTATTGAGTTAAGTGAAGTCTCATCATCAGACGATGATAAAAAGGATTCTATATCTTTACCCAACATGCCAGTGCAAAATCAAATGAAAAGAACATTTGGTAAATTCAACTTATCAAATCGAAACTTATGTAATAATTAATTACTATATTACTTGACTATACTTATACGAGTACCATAACTTTTATGTTACATTATAATTAAGTTTATATTTCTTTTATTTTATACACTGTGTCTTAGATATTAATATTATTAAATGTTTATATTTGAAATAAAAAAAAATTATTAATTCGACGCTGAATATTCTACTATTTCATTATTCACTGAATCTTTTACTATTTCATTGTTCACTGAATCTTATAAAAATATACTAGTTCATAATGTCAATAAATAAGTTTAATAATTTTGTGAAGATATCGTTTGAGAATAGTTTTATTTTACTATGTCTTTGTATCAACTCTATTTGATTTTATAATAATAATAAATAATTGAACTAATTCTATTTAACTATTTTATGATTATTTTTGTATTCAAATTATTTCTAATTTTCACTGTGTTGTTTGTAAGACTCTGCTCATCCCTTATTTAAAAGAAGGATGAGCTCCGTCAAAAGGGGGGAGATGTTATGTCCAACCCTATTTAGTTAAAAGCGCTGACCCGATTATTTTATTTCGTATATAAGCGTAGTGTTTGAGGTAATCGAGGCAGTGCAGCTCCAACCCATATTAAGTGCATATCGCACACGCCGTTCGCGGCTTTAGTACATTTTTTGTATTATTTTAATATTGGGGAAATAAACCAAAAGAACTTCCGGGATTGGGTGTAAAAGTTTTTTTAAAAACACCTTCAGAGCGGCCCTCCTAACAGTACGTAAAACTGCGATCAAGCAAACAAAACGACAATAGGTCACACAAATATGTGATAATTTGACAATTAAACCTATATAGCTTAAAGCTATGTTTATGAAAATAACAATAGTTTTTGTTTCATCCAAATTAGTGCAGATATACGAAAGTTATAACGTTTTGAAGGTTCGCTATTTTTTTTTACCCGTTCGTTCAACGTGACGTGACGTCACAATTCGACAGAGTGAGCGCGCAGTAGGTACTTGCTTAGGTTCAGTACTAATCGCGCGCTCAGAAGTATACGGTCGTTTACGTATATATTATAAACTAACGTATTGAACATTTAGATTTTATATGATTATATTTGTATTTACGCGTATAGTCACGGTAGTGCTGTAAAAAATATATGGAAGCTGGCTTTAAAAAAGGACAGTCAGATAATCTGCCAAAAGTGAATATTTTTATGGTTACGTAGTATTTTTTTGAAAATAATGATTTTCATTATCAGAAATGTGTGCAATAAAGCTCCAAAGGTAAGTTGCACATAAAAGATTACGAAAAGTATACAGCTTTACTATTAATTAGCAGGCTTACGCATTAATACATAGGTCGGTATTAACTGACTAAACCACGAATTTGTACATGATTTACAACGACATAACATGAAAAAACTTACTTAAACTTACTAATTCAATGAGTATTAATCAACTCGTACTATTATTTAGTACGCACACAGGCGCGTTACGCTGTTTAGTGCATTACATATCGATCTTGACATTGCAAATAGCGATACGAATTTAGCTTACACGGCACACGCATCTATTAACATACCTTTACGTACCTTTACAAACCTTTACGCACGTAACATACCTTTAGCATTGCTACACATACCAATATAAGTAAAGTAAAGTTGTAGATATAGGTTGTACCACGAGAGTTATGTATAAGTTATGAGCGCTGACCTTGACTTGAATACGCAGAGTAACAACTTAGGTAATTTTGTGCCTTATACAAACTACCTAAGACGGGCAGACACCTCTGCCACTTAGCCGAGCGCTCCTATTTCATCAACAGTTAAGTAAGCATACAAAACCTAATGAAACACATCAAAATGATCTTCACAACAATAAATACTACTGGTGGTTTTGAGAGGATCTGCTCTTCTTATCACCTTCAACCACATTTTCTTTTTCCATCCTTTTCGGGGACATTAAAAAACAGCTTGTCAGGTGTTTTCAACAAAATTGTTTGTTCAGACCCATTATGTAACAAGTTAACCCTTTTTAAGGGGTACTAAATTAATTATATTTTTGTATTTGATGAATAAATATCGTTTTATAAATTCGTACCTGTGTTATTGAAACCTACTTTATAATTATCCACCTACTTATTATTTGCTAAATAATTACCTAATTTTAACTAATAACATAAGTACAATAACGTATAGGCATCACTTGGCGTATCAGTTTCTATAGAACACTTGCTGATTGCTGACTCTTGGCTTAATGGATAATGAGCGTAAGCGATACGCGCACTCTATAACTTGCTTATTTATACTCTAAGGTATTTTCTATAAATATCAACGAATTTCTTAACCGCTAAATTTAACAAGTTAAATAACGTTAAATCGCATAACGAATAAGTAACCGTTAAAGTCGTTATCTTATTGTCATTTTTGTCCTTCACTTGACATTTCACTTCAGTACTCCATCTTGTAAGGAGTGTTAATACGTGTAGCGTTTCTTCATCTTCACCCAAATTTAAAATTTTCTGGTAAGAAATTTGTAACATTTTCAAATTATTGTAGGTACATACACATTACATGTGAAGATCGATAACTCATAAGTAATTAATATAATCTTTGTTACTCTTCACGTACTTAGGTAGGTGATATAACTACTTGCTGTAAGACGATTTTAAGCGTGGCTTTTTTACAAATTGTCGAAGAAATTAACTATTTTCTTTATTTAGTGATATATAGACGTATATTATGCTTTTTCTTTACATGTTTTTTCTACAGTTTCACTTGACCTCTATTTGACCTTCTTACGCCGGTAAAGTACCTACTTACCTATATACTACCCCAACCTACCAGATTATAATAATACACATTATAGAAACTACCAATGCAAATGTAAATTGAAATACATTTGAATAGGTATAGCATAAATAATTAACAACAATTTACACATTTGTATTAATGAAGTGTGCTGTTAAGTTTAATAATATCTATAAAGTAAATAATGAAGTGAAATAACTCTTTAAAACTTCCTATTTGTACGATCAAATGAATTTTTTCACACCTGAAATTGCAGTACTAATTTCATATCAGTAATGTAAAAAACTGATTTTTAGTATTCTGTTATTTTATGGGATTTACATTCTTATACATTTTGTCACATCTACCAAGTGAATGCAAATAATACATGGAAGTATTACTTAAAGGGAATTAAAGAGCACAACATGGCTCAAAATCTCAAACTTTATTAACATTTATTATATTTTATTATGAATTGGGACTTGGTCAATATTTGACCTTATTTCCCAATAGTTTTTTGGTTTTAATGCCTAATATCATATGCTTAACAACAAAGAAGTTGCTTTACAACATACTAGAAACTTTTATGTAATAAATTACAATGTAAATTAGTTTTATTTTATTAATCAGTATTATGATAGAGACAATATTAATTGATAATACAACTGTGCTTACAAATTGACCACTTAAGAAAAAAGCAATCCAAATATCCATCCATTACAGCCCATAAAAGTCCACTGCTGAATACCATACCTTTACCATAGTTGCCATGCTTAGCAGGCAGGTTGAGAACTTCAGTTTTTTTTTATTTTTAGTTATTATTAGGAAGATGCTGCTGCCACCTCATGTTTCAGTTGAATGATATAGCATAGTCAATATTTTTACACAGCCACTATATATCCAGCAAATTAAATCAAGATATGGCAATTTAACCATGTTAAATCAAGATATGGCAAGATCAAATTGAAACAGACCTATTTAAAAAAATTGTGGTAGAGCCATGTGGCAATTGTATTATGGTTGCCCCACAACTGAGTTGGCTTGACTGAGGAAAGACCACACTCATACTAGTGTAAAATTGCAGTTTAGTGCTGATGTGTTTCATATGTGGAGATCTGGAGACCTTTTCTACTGAAAATTAGGCATTCCATTGTCCTCAAGGGTGATAACTCATCAGCATTTTGATTTTCAATCGAGGTTACGATTTGAGTGTATGTCACAACATCCAATTGTCATCAGGTGGACTGTGTGCTCATTTGTCACTCTTTTTCAATTAAAAAAAGTTAACAACTAGCAGTAGAATATTCCTTTTTATTTACAAACACTGGTAGCAGTCTAGAATGTCAAATTTAGCTAATACTACACTAAAAATGTGAAAATAAACATTTTGTAGTTTTACATTTATCATTGTGTTTAGTTGTGTTTTGGTACAATTCTAATTAAACACATTATTATACATAAGATTAAATATTTTGGTATTTGATACATCCACTCTGTACTGTAAAAATAGAACCCAATATTTCCACTTCTAAAACTGACCTTTTACTTTTCAAAATTTAATTAACTGCTCTAAAGATTATCACAAGCTCAAAGTAACAACTAGGATGTTGTGTACAACTTGGCCAAAACAATTAGGCGCATGACAGGAATGCAGTTTTGACGCCCGCACCCTGCATCTCATGCTTCATCTAGAGACCAATCACTGTTCCAGTGTTCCCTCACTAGTTCTAATGACTAAATAAGTTACATTAAAATTTCATCTCCCTATTTTTTCCCTTAGGGGTGAAATTTTTGCACTAAATTTTAATGGGAATGCTGTGTATCATACTTATTAAAAAAATAAATCTGTTCACAATCTATGAAGACATTTAGATAGAATAAAATTACAAAAAAAAATTAGTTTATGTAATTTTAATATTTATTATATTTTTTTTTTACAGCAACAATGTCGAAGATTGGTATTAATGGATTTGGCCGTATTGGGCGCCTGGTACTTCGTGCATCTATTGAAAAGGGAGCCCAGGTTGTTGCTGTCAATGACCCTTTCATCGGTTTGGATTATATGGTCTATCTTTTCAAGTATGACTCAACACATGGCCGCTTTAAGGGAACTGTTACTGCCGAAGATGGTAATCTTGTAGTAAACGGAAATAAAATTGCTGTCTTTTCTGAGAGGGACCCTAAAGCAATTCCATGGTCAAAGGCAGGTGCTGAATATGTTGTGGAATCAACTGGTGTTTTCACTACAACAGAGAAAGCATCTGCTCATTTAGAAGGTGGTGCAAAGAAGGTCATCATTTCTGCTCCCAGTGCTGATGCCCCAATGTTTGTAGTTGGTGTCAACCTGGAAGCTTATGACCCATCTTACAAGGTTATCTCTAATGCCTCCTGCACCACTAACTGCTTAGCTCCCCTTGCTAAGGTTATCCACGATAACTTCGAAATCGTTGAAGGTTTAATGACAACTGTTCATGCCACCACTGCCACCCAAAAGACTGTCGATGGTCCTTCTGGCAAACTCTGGCGTGATGGCCGCGGTGCCCAACAAAACATCATTCCTGCTTCTACTGGTGCTGCTAAAGCTGTCGGCAAAGTGATTCCTGCCCTGAATGGTAAACTTACTGGCATGGCTTTCCGTGTTCCAGTAGCCAATGTATCCGTCGTCGATCTTACTGTACGCCTTGGCAAAGCTGCAAATTATGAAGCTATTAAACAAAAGGTGAAAGAAGCAGCTGAAGGGCCACTTAAAGGTATTCTTGGTTATACTGAAGATCAAGTTGTATCTTCTGACTTTATTGGTGACTCACACTCATCTATTTTTGACGCCGCTGCGGGTATATCCCTAAATGACAACTTTGTAAAACTCATCAGCTGGTATGACAATGAATATGGATACTCTAGCCGAGTTATTGATCTCATCAAATACATCCAGAGCAAGGATTAGATTTTATCTTATATTTTTAGCACTTTGAAATGTAATTGTAATTGTCGAGATTACTGATGATTTTTTTAAGTGTAGTTGTGTATTCTAAATTATTACGCTACTTTTGTAAGTCGCCATGTGCTTGTGTAAGTGATCATTTTCTTTTTTAAGGAAATCGTGTTATTTTAAACCTAAGGCAGATAATAAATATATGTATTAAGAACCGTATTAAAGTGAGAAATCAATCAAATATAGTTTTATTTGAAAGAGAAAAGGGTTAAATTGTATTTTGGCACTTAATACTCACATTAAAATGTTTGTTAAAATTTGAATAATTTCATAACACATTCACTCAAAGTAACTTACTAGAGCATCTTTGTCTTTAGAGAATTCATTTGCCATATGCTATAAAGCCATTCATTAATTACGTAAGGATGATTTTGACGATTTTCGACCACCCCTACCCCCTGACATGTTATTTCACAGCCTATACAAAAGGATTAGTGACACTAAAACTCGTAGTTTAATATAAATCAAATATTTTTAAAAGATAATATAGAATATACTTAGGTACTCTCTTCAACAGACTTCAAAAAGGAGATTGTACTCAATTCTACTGTTTTTTTTATGTGTGTTACCTCATAACTTTTTTCTGGGTGAACCGATTTCGATGATTCTTTTTTATTTGAAAGCTGGTACTTCACATGTGGTCCCACATGAATTTGATCAAGGTCAGACCAATAGTTTTTGAGTTATTCTTAATAATTTATATTGAAGTCGGCTGTACAAAATTTTAATTTTTTTTATGTATGTGCACCGATTACACGAAGATGCTATAGATGCAGCATGGCTCTACCACCTAATAAATAAAAATATAAAAATCTGGCTATACAAAAAAGCTCGGTATTTGATAATCGTGTACCTTCATTTGCGATTTTCCATTGAAACAATGGAACCGAACCATTTTTGAAAATATTGATCACTGGTGATGAAAAGTGGATAACCTACGACAAGAATGTGCGAAAAAGATCATGGTCAAAGAGTAGTCAAGCTACACAGTCTGGAACGAAAACCGAATTAAAAAATGTGTGATAGTGATGTGTGGATTGGAAGGAAATCGTTTATCGTTTATTATGAGGTTACGTCATTGATCCTTGTCACAATCCGGTACGGTCCGTCCCATTTAGCTTGAAGCTTAGGAAATTTCTCTTTGCAGCGAACTGGATTGAGTAACCACACTAGTGAACCTTCGTCGAACCCTTTGTTGTTCATTTTGCGGCCATACCGTGTTTTCATTTTTTCAGACATTTGCTGGCCCGATTGTCTAACGTAATAAATGTCATTCATTTTGTTCCGCAAGTCATTTGCATAATCGGTTATACTGCGTGGGGCATCAGGTGGTATTCCGGTGATCATGTCTGCAGGCAGCCGTAATTCTCTTCCAAAGTTTGCAAAAGCTGGTGGCACTGATGTACTTTCGTGAACAGCGCTCCGATATGACAACAAAAACGGTTGTATGTGCTTGTCCCAGTCCTGTTGCCGATTTCCCACAACTTTTGCTAGGTACCTCTCCAATGTCTGATTAAATCGTTCTACCGTTCCATCAGATTGTGGGTGGTAAGAAGTGGTTCTTGTTTTATGAGTACCTATAACTTGGCAAGTTTCCTGGAATATTTGAGTCTCAAAATTCCTTCCTTGATCACTGTGAATCTCTAAAGCTACTCCAAAACGACAGAAGACTTCACGAACTAGTTTAAGCTTAGTTGAAGCTTCTTGATTTGGAATAGCCAAAACTTCTGGCTACTTAGTGAAGTAACACAACCATGAAATACTTATTACCACTTTCACTTTCCAGAAACGGCCCAGCAACGTCAAGGGCTATCCTCTCCCATGGTGCACCAACATTATACAATTTCAATGCACCTCTACTACGAGTCTGAGGTCCCTTTACAGCCGCACAACTTGTACATTTGCGACACCAGTCCTCGACATCGTCACGACAATGGACCCAGTAAAACCATTCTCGGATCTTCAGTAGAGTTCGTTTAACTCCCAGACGGCCTACTGAACAACCATTATGATACAGCTGTAGAACATCCGGTACTTTAGCTTTAGGCACAACCATTTGCAAATGACAGCTGTTTCCTCGAGCATATTCCCATTTATGGCACACGACTCCATCCTGAATCAGCAAGCTGTCCCATTGAGTCCAATAGCTTTTCGTGGTCAAACTCATCGCTGAGACGTCGCTCCACTTGGGCTTAGGAACACTGGCCTTCATCCATTCCAGAATCGGCTTAATGTCCGAATCTTCCTGCTATGCATGTTGTAGGCTGTCCTTGCACTCATTGCTGAGCTGGTCTATCCTGAGCATCCTCACAGGTACCACTTCCTTACCCTCTTACCTATTACAATGCTTGCAATCTTCAGGACAAGGTCTTCTTGACAATGCATATGCGTTGCCATGAGATTTTCCGCTGCTTATCCGTACTATCCGATTACTTCCGATTATCCGTACTACCCTCACGAGATCAACCACCTTTCTACCCTTTCTGCAGTTCGCTTAGGGCAGCTGGATCGAAAATGGCCCCTTTCCCCACAGCCGTAGCACCTAGATCTGTATCTTTTATTGCGTTCGCGAACTGTAGCTGCTGCAACCCTTCCCTGACGCGATGGGAACGATGATCATACCGCACGGCTTCCACTTCCAGTGCATGGGCCAAGGCGTCCTTAAGCGTCTCGTGGTGTCCGAGCATCATAGCAGCTCTGACCTCAAGGTCGCGGATCCCGTCGATGAATGTCTGCACCAGCTTCCCTTCAATGAGCACAGGTACAGACTAGAATGCTTTTCGAACCAGCTTCTCTACCTCAAGGGCCGACTGCTGCAGGTTTTCGTTGCTGCGTTGAAACAAAAATATTGTTAACTGAAATATGTTTGAAAAAAAAGTCCCGCTGGGTTTCTTGCTGGTTCTCCCCAGGACAGAGGTATTTTCCGAACCAGAGGTAAATAAAAAATGGCTTTCAATAAGTATTGAATAAAAAAAATCATTCTATTCTATTCTACTTCCTTACCGAGAGCTTCCAGAACAGTTAAGGCCTGATCGCGCAGGCCCAGGGTGAGAACAGTTATGGCCTGACTTTTATTCCGCCTTCATGACAGCCTCGAAGTGGATTTTGTAGACCGACCAAGAAGAAGTCCCGTCGAACGACGTCACTTTGAATCCACGTAGCGAATGTGTTGTAGCTACCACGTAGAGCCGTAATTCCATCCCCAAGTTTGAGGTCGTCCAGCGTTTTCTTCACGTCAGCCATCTCGTTGTCAACCCGATTAATAACTTGGTCGTTTGGGGTTTGAGGTTCCGACAGGCGGTTGTCATGTTGAGCAACCCTATCCTTCACCTCCCTTATATCTCTCCCAAAGTTAGCGTGAAGGTCCTCCATGAGGAGCATCTGCTCTTCCCTACTGCACTGCAGCTGCTCTTCCAACCGACGGGCCTGTTCCTCCTGTCAGCGGGCTTACTCCTGCAGCATCATCATCAGAGCACCTAAGTCAGGTACTGCAGATGCAGGAGTGGCTGACGGGCCGACCTCTGTGGTAGGAAGCTGGCCCTCCGACGTTTGCGGCATTGGACCATCAAATCGTCTCTGGTCCGTCTCCTGCTGGCGTTAATCAAGAATTAAGAAGATTGAAGATTTTTGCAGATTGATTTCCGCACACTGAGGTATTGCGAAAATTTCTGCCTGGAAAATACGAGGACGGCACTGAAAATTTCGGGAATCAAGGAAGTGACACAACATTACTATTTAAAAATGTATTTATTGCTTTTCGAAGTATTCTCCGCGAAATTTGACTCATTTTTCCATACGATGGAACCAATAATTGAAGCAACCATCCCATTCGGAAGTTGGGGTCTCTAAAATGGCCGTTTTGTAGGCGTCCATAGCTTCTTCAGGTGATGAAAATCTCTGTCCACGCAATTTATTCTTTATTTTAGGGAAAGTATAGAAATCATTAGGGCTTAGGTCGGGGCTGTACGGCGGATGGTCTAATAATTCTATGTTTTCTTGCTCTAAAAACTTTTGTTCTGTGTGCGGTGTGAGAACTCGCATTGTCGTGATGGAGGATGATGCGGCGGTTGCAGTTCTCTTTACGGAGTTCAGAAACGACCTGTGGCAAACACATGCTAGCATACCATTCTGCATTAACCGTTCTTTGTCCCTCAAGAGATTGTCGTAACATGGCCGGTTTTGGAGACAAACGTGGCCACCATTTTTTTGCAACACTCCGTGAACGAACTATTTTTGTTGGCTTTAACTCATTTTCGAACACCCAAACTCATGACTGGTTTTTTGTTTCGGGTTTGTATTCGTATATCCAGAATTCTTCACCTAATACGATATTGTATACAGCATTTGAGGAGCCTGCGTGGAATCTTTCGGGAGTTCTGACGCACCAAGTAACGCGAGCCGCTTTTTGCTCTTCACAGAGCGAATGCGGTATCCATCGGGAAAACAACTTTTTTACACCTAATTGTTCATGCAAGATTATTTGTATTTGACTCATGCCAATGTCTAAAGTTGCCTGAATTTCGAAAGTCATAATAAATCATCGCTCTTGAATTTTCTCGAGTCAATTCCATTTTCTCAACGACTAAACAAGTTTAACAAAACCTTGTGACAAGACCGAGATTTTTTTTAAATAAATAAATGGTATACGATTTTTAAAACCAAAGGATTTTCAATTAAAAAGATTTTAATATGACAGGAACAGTGGAAATATTCCATTCCCGATACTTTTAGTGCAGCCCTCGTAGAGGTGAATCTACCCAAATTAATACTAAGTTTGATTTTGGGTCGTTCCCCATAAATTTCAAAGCCTACGTCGAGGCACAGTTTTGACCCATCGGTATACTAATACTAAGTTTGAATTTGGGTCGTTCCCCATAAATTTCAAAGCCTACGTCGAGGCACAGTTTTGACCCATCGGTATACCGTATAAGGCTACCGACCTCACAGATAAC